AGCCCAGCATCAGGCTCCACACTAAGCATGGAGCCTGCTTAAGATTTTCTCTCTCTCTCCCTCTGCTCCTCTCCCCCACACTCCCATTCGAAAAAAAATTTTTTTTAAATTTAAAGCTTTTATGCTTCAAAAGACACTTTCAAGAAATACAAGACAACCCATCAAATGTGAGACAATATTTGCAAATACTGTAAGGGACTTGTATACAAAATATATAAAGAACCACAACTCAACAACTGCTACCACCATCACCACCACCAAACAACCTGACTTTAAAATAGGAAAAGGAAAAAAAATGGGGCAAAGGGTCTGAATAGATATTTCTCCAAGAAAGATATACAAAAAGACAGTAAGTACATGAAAAAAATGCTCAACATCATTAGTCATCAGGAAAATGCAAATCAAAGCCCCAATGAGCCCTATTCATGGGTGGGAAGGCAATATTATTAAGATGTCAATGCTACCCAAGGCCATCTACAGATTCAATGCAATATCTATAAAAAATCCCAATGGCTTTTTTTGCAGCAATGGAAAAGGCCATCTAAAACTTAGATGGAATCATAGGGATTCCAAATAGCCAGAATAATCTTGGGAGTTGGAGGGAAGAATAAAATTGGAGGTCTCACATTTCTGTATTTCAAAACTACAAAGCTATAGTACTGGCATGAAGACAGAGATACAGATCGAGCAAATGGAATAGACACCCCAGAAATTAACTCACATATATGATCAAATAATTGTCAACATGGGAAATAACAAGGTTTTCAATAAATGATGTTGGGAAAATGGATAGTTACATGCAAAAAAACTAGAAGTTGGACCCGAACTTACACTGTATAAAAAAGGTTAACTCAAAATGGATCCAGGACTTAAATGTAAGAGCTAAAACTATAAAATTCTTAGAAGAAAAGACAGGGGAATAGCTTCATGACATTAAACTTAGCAACGATTTCTTAGATGTGACACCCAAGAGCAAAAACAACAAATAGATCAACTGGACTTCATCAAAATTTAAAACTTTTGTATATCAAAGGACATAATCAACAGTGAAGAGACATCAATTAGATGGGAGAAAATATTCTCAAGTTCCACATATAAGTGAGAACATATGGTATCTGTTTGTCTCTGATGGACTTATTTCACTTATCATAATACCCTCTAGTTCCATCCACATGGATGCAAATGGCAGGATTTCATTCTTTCTCGTTGCCAAATAGTATTCCATTTTATATATAAACCATGTCTTCTTTATCCATTCATCAGTTAATGGATATTTAGGCTCTTTCTATAATTTGGCTATTGTTGAAAGCGCAGGCAATTCAATTTTAAAACAGTCTAGGAACTTGAATAGGCATTTCTTGAATAGGCATTTCTCCAAAGAAGATAAACAAATGGTCAATAAGTACATGAAAAGATGTTCAACATCACTAATCATTAGGGAAATGCAAATGAAAACCATGAGACACCTCTTCATATCCATTAATGGTTATTAAATACAACAACAGGGTGCCTGGGTGGCTCAGTCTGTTAAGTGTCTGACTTTGGCTCAGGTTATGGTCTCGTGATTCTTGAGTTCAAGCCTTGCACCGAGCTCTGAGCTGAAAGCATAGAACCTTGAGCCTGCCTCAGATTCTGTGTATCTCTCTTTCTGCCCCTCCCCTGCTCGTGCTCTGTCTCTCAAAAATAAACATTAAAAAAATAAAAATAAAAACAACAACAAGGAAACCCAGAAAATAATAAGTGCTGACAAATACGTGGAGAAATTGTAACCCTTGTGTATATTGCTGGTGGGAATGTAAGAAGGAATAGCTCTATGGAAAACAGTATGGCAGCTCCTAAAAAAAAGAAAAACTAAGCATAGAATTATCATATGATCCAGAATTCCAGGTATATATCTGGAATAAATAAAAGCAGGGACTCAAAACAATGATCTGTATGCTCACGTTTATAATAGCAATATGTTGGTGTAGGGATTCATGGGGGTGGAGAGGTGGGTGATGAATGGGGAGTCCGTGATCAGTGTGTAAAGAGTTTCAATCGAGGAAGATGAAAAAGTTCTCAAGACGGGTGGTGGTGATGGTTGAACAACAATGTGAATATACTTGATTCAACAAAACTACATATTTAAAAACCATTAAAATGCTAAATTTGATGTATACTTTGCTACAAAAAGCAGGGAAGTGAATTATCCTGGAAGAAATCTATTATCATTTCTACCTGGCAAATAAGAAATGAGGATGTGTGAGACAATTTTAACGGTTAAAGACATTCAAATTCCAAGTTTCAGAGGCCTCATCTAAAAATATGTTAAACTAAGCCACCAACCCACCCAAAAGAAAATCCACAAGGAGATCAACATCATGCCCATTAGGATGGCTAGAATCAAAAAGTCAGCTGAACTGTGCAGTTTTTGACAGGCACCAGGGCCTTCTCAAAGGTAAAAATGAGTACTGTACCTCACCCATGTGAAATACTACAGCCAATCACATGGAATTAGGAATGAAGGAACCAAATTTTCTTTCCAGAGGAGGTAATTCTATGTAGACAACTCTGTCTCTGCCAGAGCCTAAGGTATAAATAAAAACATTAAACTTGGATGCAGTACTCTTGCTGACTTATTAGAGTTTTCATTGCAAACTACATTGTAGAGCTCCAAGGAATCTAAGTTATTTCCTTCATTCTGTTTGTCCTCACAAAATATTACAAAGGGGGTAGAGAAGCAAAATTTCACATTTAAGTTACCTTTAAATGATCAAAACTCATGGGAGAATAGGGATTACTGAGGGAGGGAGGGAGGGGGAGAGAGAGAGAGAGAGAGAGAGAGAGAGAGAGAGGCAGCGTGAGCAGGGCACGGTCAGAGAGGGAGATACAGAATCATCTGAAACGGGCTCCAGGCTCTGAGCTAGCTGCTAGCACAGAGCCCGACACGGGGCTCGAAGTCACGAACCATGAGATCATGACCTGAACCGAAGTTGGATGCTCAATGGACTGAGCCACCCAAGCGCCCCAGGATTCTGCAGCTCTTTGGGTACTGAATTATGTCTGAGCACAAGCTAATGACTGAACCTTGACAGCAAGGCTCTGTTTGGCATCTGGCACTGGCATTATAAGGTATCAGAGAGAACTTAGAAGAGGCACAGTGGAGGAAATGGCTCCCAGTGTGGGGCTTGAACTCACAACCTTGAGATCAAAGAGTCACATGTCCTCCCAATTGAGCCAACAAGATGCCCCTTTCTTTTTAGAAATCAGTTAGTCTGAGGTCACATATTGAGTCAGAGACAGAGGTGGGATTAGAACTCAGGTCTTCTGGCCATAGCACTTCCCCAACACTATGCTGTTTATTTTAGCTCTACTGTCAATATTTCAAAACAAATTTGTTTAAATGGATAGTTTTGCTCCAACACAAAGTCCAAAAGCTAAGAAAACCCCCAAACAAGAATTGCATCATGAACAGGGTAATACCAAACCAACAGTGTGGAACTGTGGGTAGATAACCACCTACAGCAAGTGGAGAGAGTCATAAAGGGGACACAGCCTTGTCAGAGAGGTGGGGTTCTTTTTCCTCAGCTTTATTGAGATAGAATTCACATACCATAAAATTCTTTCATTTTGTACAATTCAATGTTACTTAGTATATTCAGTTAGGTGACCATTACTATATAATTTCAAAACATTTTCATCACCCCCAAAAGAAACTCTGTACCCAATAGCAAGTATTCCCCATTCTTCATCCCGACCCCCCGTCCGCCCCGGCAACCACGAATCTACTTTCTATTTGTACGCATGTATCTGCTCTGGACATTTCATGCAACATGTGGTCTCTTGTGACTGGCTTCTTTCAATTAGAATGTTTCCAAGGTTCATCCATGTTGGAACACATATCAGTAAATACTTCATTCCTTTTTATGGCCAAATAATATCCTATTGTAAGGTATCATAATCTTTTTTGTTGTTGTTGTTGCTTTATTTATTTTTGAAAGAGAGAGAGAGAGAGTGACAGAGAGGGACAGAGAGAGAGGGAGAAAGAATCCCAAGTGTGCTCTGCGCTGTCGGTACAGAGCCCAATGCGGGGCCCAAACTCAAACTGAGAGCATGACCTGAGCTGAAATCAAAAGTCAGACGCTTACCTGACTGAGCCACCCAGGCCCCCGGTATCATCTTTATCCATTCGCCAGTTGATGAACATTTGGGTTATTTCCATCTTTTGTCTATTATGAACGTTGCCATGAATGTTCATGTACAAGATTTTTTGTAGACGTGTTTTCAATTGTCTTGGGTAATTGTCTTGAGTGGAATTGCTGGGTCAGGGCAACTCTATTGTTAAGTTTTTGAGGAACTGCCCGACTGTTTTGCAGACAGCTGCACCACATGACATTTCTACCAGCAATGTACGAGTGTTCTAATTCTCCACATCCTCATCGACACTTGTTACTGTCCACCCTCTCGATCACAGCCATCCTAGTTGGTTGTGGCAGTCTTCATAACAAAAGGGACAGTTAAAATCTTCTAGGTCTGCATATACTCTGATCAGGCACAGGACCCACTGAGCCCCACGGGCGGTAGAACAGGACACAATACTGACGGTACTGCCCTACCCTCCTGCTGTGGTGCCCTCCCCAACAGTTAAGGGCAGAGGTTCTCAAAATGTAGGCCCAAGACCAGCAGCACCAGCATCACCTCTGAACCAGTTAGAAATGCAGAGTCTCAGACTCTGCCCCAGACCTCCTGAGTCAGAGACTCTAGGGTGAGATCCAGCTTCCTGTGATTCTAGTGATTCTGACGCCTGCTCAAGTTCAAGGGCAAGCAGCATCTGCTAGGGGCATCTTTGTCCCTCAATGTCAGCTTTAACCACCTTATTAGTGATAATGAATACACACCAAATCCATCATCCTCTGCAAAGGAGGATGATAGTGACCAAAAAAGAACTTTCTAAAGGATTCCATCATGCAGCTCAAGCGGAAGGATTTGACACTTTCCAGTAATGAGTGACACTGTTGATGTAAAGTGTTCATAATAATTTATTTTGGAGACAGAAAACCTAGCTGGAAGGTAAACAAGAATTTCACAAACACTGTCCAAGGCAATGACACAGACATAATTTCCCTCATACTTGCTGTTCTAAATATTCTTTGTCCATTCAAAATTTCAAAGAGCAAGCTATCATGGTTCTCCTTTATATTTTTGGAAAGAGGATGGCACAAGAGCTTCACATTCATTAAAGTAAACATTTAAATAATCATTTAAGACAGTAAAGATGGCCTCATCAATACCATGTGATGTCGACAGGCCACAAATACTCCCATGACCCTGCTAGCGTTGACAACTATCTAAAAAAATGAGGAAAAAAAATTCTTTGGAAAACTACTGTACGTTCCTTTCATATCCTGCCATTTAGGGATCTTTTCTCTGTATGTTTCTTACAAGCTTACAGGTTTGGTAATTAGGGCGGGTAGAACCCCGATGTGGTGACACGTTTGTTACCTCCTTCAGATATGGCTAGATCCGCTGCTCTCATGTTCGGCAGGTGTGATCAGCGGGAGAAGGTGAGGCATCTGACCAGGTCCCCAGGGGATGAGCAGAGCTCACACGTGGTGTGGATGCAGAGGAAGAACCACATGCTGAACAGCAAAAAACTCACCATTAGTGCAAAAATTGCTGCAATGATTCCATTTGTTCCTGAAAACCCATTCTTCACTGACTGGTTTTTACAGCATTTCTCTTGTCTGGGACATCACAGTCTCTCTGAGCAGATTCAAAACCTTCTCATAAGTGTCTAGAATTTCCCGAGCAGTGGGTCTTTCTGCAGGGGTCTGGCTCTTACATGCCTTATGAATATCAAACAAGTGAAACCGGACCATATCACTCCCTTCAACGTGCCCCAAAAGGAAACTAGAGACATCTGGAATCTTCCAGATGTCGATCTTCTCGTCATATGAGGGCATGAGGTCGTCGTCAAAAGGTGTGTCTTCTCCATAGGGCCACAGCTGCTCTGGGGCCACAAAGTCCCCGTGGAGCTCCCTGTGGCCGCACTTCACAAATGTCCTTGAGCTGTGGTTCACCAGGGGCAAGGCGTCCAGGTCGTTGACCACAATGCTGAAGTTGCTCGTCAGCAGATACTGGGACAGGGTCTTGGCCAGGTCACTGGAGTCGCACATGACCAGGGTGCCCAGGGGGCTGTGGTGCAGGTAGTGGATAATGGCCACGTAGTCCATGGCCAGCTGCAGCCGGTGCTGCCACGTGTTCACGCTGTGGTACTTGGAAAGGTTGAGCGTTTCTTCCAGATTGCTCAAGGAACCTAAGGGGTGATACTCGGTAAGAATAGTGTTGTCCTCCTCACAGTAGCCAAGCAGGGTGACAACATGTTTACTCTGCAGGGTTTTCAGCATCTGCAGCCCATGCAGGAAATCATCTCTCATCTCCAGACGGGTGAGTCGCGAGAGTGCGACTTTGCGTTCCTTCCACTCAGACAGAAAGACCTGAAACCAAGTCATGGAGAGCATCAAACCTGAAGCCGGCACCTGTGTTAGTGAGCAGGCAAACGCCACCGCCGCTGCAGAGGAGGCAGAGCTAGCCTGACAAACCCAGTCCCGGAGTGGCTCTCAGTCTGGTTACAAAGACTCACTGATGAGCAAACACAGGCACCCAGTGCAGGAGGCCCAGGGCTGGCCCGGGAGGGACACCGCATAGGGTGCTGAGAGCCCTCTGGAGAGGCCAGCCCATAACGCACCACAATAGTACCTGTTCATCTTTCAAGGTAGCCCAGCAAACCGCGGATAGAAACGGTTTTAGGTAAGGAGAACAATTTTACACGGGGTGTGGTTTTGTGTTACTTCAGCTGTAACAGCAGAAGCTGAAATGCCCGCAGACACTCGAGCTGCCCCTCCTGGTAGGCCAACACGGAGCAAGTGCACAGGCCACCTCGGCTCTTACAGTCATTAAGCGCCTCTGATCTGCTTAAATCCCCAAAAGGAAGGCAGGAGCCTGCACCAGAGGAAACAGGCTCAGCAGTGGGGAGGCGGCTGTCCCGGGCTGCTTCTGCTGCCTGTGGGCTGTTTCTCTGCTTCTACTTACTCCCTAAAACAAAGGTTATGGTTTTAGAAACCAATCTGGAGCATAATTTATCAAATGCCTTTAACATTAAATCTATAATCTATCTAAGGCAGTAATCTAAAATAGAAAAAAGCTCTAGGAATAAAAATCTAGAACTATTAATAAAAGCATAAACTGGAACTTATCTGTCCATCAAAAAAAGGCACCGCAGAGGCCCTAAGGGGAGAAAGGCCATGTTCTATCAAGATACCAGAGAAAGGGCAAGGTGACTGCAAGGCAAGGTGAGGGACCCATCTGGAATGAGTTAGGAGGTGAGCTAGGTCCAGATGAGGAAAAAGATGGCAGATTGTGGTAAGAGGTGTGGCTTTTCCCCTAAGGGTAGTGGGAAGCCATGCAAGAGTGGCATGATCTGAGCTGTGTTTAGAAGACAACAAGCCTGCCACCTGGGTGGTTCAGTCATTAGGCATCTGATTTCAGCTGAGGCCATGTTCTCACAGTTCAGGAGTTCGAGTCCCACATCACCTGAGCTCGAGCCCCACTCTCGGTAAGCCTGAGCCCCACTTTGGGTGAACAACAGCCCCGCTTCAGGTAAAACACAAGCCCCACTTTGGGTGAGCCCTGCTTTTCTCTTTTTATCTCTGCCCCTGGCTCAGTTGCATTATTCTCTCTCTCTCTCTCAAAAAAAGGAAGACAAGGATGCATGGTGCATCATGACAGGCAAAAGCAGGCCAGGCCAAGGCAACAACTAATGGTGACAGCTAGAATGGGTCAGGGGCCAGGGAGATCATCAAACAAGGTTGGGGCCTGTTTTGAAAAGAAAATCTACCTGATGGAACTTGCTCTTGGCTTAGTCGAGGGGGGAGGGGTGGAGAGGATCCAAGAAGTCACCTTGGTCTGGGCTCCAGCAAGGAGGTGGGAAGGAAGTGGTAATGGTGACTGAGATAGGGGAGGCTCGGAGAGCAGGTCTCCGAGGGAAACTATCAAGAGTTCCATCCTCAGGACACTGAGATGGTCAAGAGACCTCCAAGCATAGATGTCAAATAAGTAAGTAGTTGCATATACAAATGTGGCTCAGGGAGAGCTACAGGCTGGATATAAACTGGGGATCGTGAGCATGCACGTGTCTTTAAAGCAATGGCACTAGATTCGATCACTTGAGAGTTCATCTACAGAAGACGAAAGAGGATCCAGGAAGGAACTAAGAGGAATAATGTTTGTTAACCTCAGTGCTACTGACATTTGGGCCAGGTAAATATTTGTTAGGGTGAGGCTGTCCCGTGTGTTGTAGGAAGGTGAGTGGTATCCCTGGCCTCTACCCACTGGCTGCCAGGAGCACCATTCCCCCCACCCCCCCACCCCCCAAGGATGTGACAAACGCAAACCTGTCTCTGCCCATTACCTAATGACCCCCTGAGGAACAAAATCGCTTCTGGTTGAAAACCGGGGGCAAGAGAGGGAAGAGAAGCCAGCAAAGGGGAGTCATTAGGAATGGCCAGTGAGAGAGCAGGAGAGCCATGACGAGGGGTAGCATGGAGAGCCAGGGTTGCAAGGACAGACGAGGAGTCAACTGGATCAAAGGCTGCAGAAAAAGTAAAGCGAGAGGAAGACCGAGAAATGTCCAACGTGGGGTTTTCAGGTGTCGGGATGAGGGCAGTTCCTCTGGAGAGGGGGTGTTTGGAAGCCATCCCGGCAGAGCACAAGAGAAGTGGGGCCAGGGCTCTGGCACTTTCACTATAGAGGAAGCAGGGCATGCATGGCACTTCCGAGGAACAGGGATGCTGGGAAAGGGATTTCCCCGTGAAAGCATGCGTGTGTGTCTGCGGGCCAGCCAGGACCCTCAGCGTGGGGAGGGCTGAGGGAGCAGGAGACAGCGGAGGCCTCCAGGGAGGGCGCTGTGAGGAGTCACAAGTCACAACACCTGAGCCGGAGGGCTTACAGGTCTGGCGGCTGGAGGATGGATAAACTCCCTTTGGGAGGGTTCTGTTTACATAACAACTTATGCAACCCGAGACCGTCAGCTGAGGCAGGGGAAGGAAAAGTTGCCCAGGGAACAGGGTAGGGCTGCTGGGCTGTGCTGAGTGCACGGCGGAGGTCTGTGGTCAGGCCTTAAACCTCAGAGCTGTGCAACTTTGTCCCGGGCAACTGCTCAGACGCAGGTGGCACAGCTGGGGTCACTGGGTTTGGGGCTCTCCCTCCAGGCAAGATGGGAAGAGAGGTGGAGGAGCGAACAGTGTGTGAGTCTGCACAAGATTGACACTTAGGGGAACAATCACAGAGGCTCTGCTGCTGGGTGAAATGGGGGAGTGAAGACAGAAAGTGAAACCGTCCCAGCATCAACACCTTGGAGGTCCCAATGAGACTGAAGAGTTACTGAAGCAAGGGTGCCAGGGGGCGGGGGGTAGGGGGTGGGGGTGGTTGGCGAGAGGGATGCAAGAACTCTGGATATGGACATTCCTATTGAGAAGCTTATGCCTCCCTCGGCGTTAGTGAGGAGCAGTGCCCATGCTGGTACCAGCGATGGGACACACATTCTGGGCAGGGGGTCATTCAAATAAGTGCCCCTGTCATGTACCCCAGTGTTCATAGCAGCACTCTCAACAATAGCCAAATCATGGAAAGAGCCTAAGTGTCCATCAACGGACGAATGGATCAAGAAGATATGGTTTATCTATACCATGGAATACTACATGGCAATGAGAAAGAATGCAATCTGGCCACATGTAGCAACATGGATGGAACTCGAGGGTGTTATGCTGAGCGAAATAAGTCAGGCAGAGAAGGACAAATATCATATGTTTTCACTCATATGTGGAACAGGAGAAACTTAACAGGACCATGGGGGAGGGGGAGGGGAAAAATAGTTAAGAGGGAGAGAGGCAAACCATGACAGACTCTTAAATACTGAGAACAAACTGAGGACTGATGGGGGTGGGGGAGAGGGGAAAGTGGGTGATGGGCCTGGGGGAGGGCACTTGTGATGAGCACTGGGTGTTATATGGAAATCAACTTGACAATAAACTGTAATTTAAAAAATTAAAATTAAAAACAAACAAACAAGTGCCACTGTGGTAGAAGTGAGAGGCTGCCCTGTGCCAAGACTCACAAAGGCCCCGGTGTTCGAGGGCACAAGACAGACAAACAAGATTCCTCACTGATGGAGCTAATAACCAGCACACAAATACTTTTGCCTTTAAGGCAAATTTCAGCCAAAGACACAAAAAACAATGTAACTGCCTTTCAGCCATACTTCATTATTTAATTTAATTTAATTAATTTATTTCTTTATCTGAGATCGAGGTTTCTTTTTAAATGTTTTTTAATGTTTCATTTATTTTTGAGAGATAGAGACAGCGTGAGCAGGGGCGGGTCAGAGAGAGAGGGAGATACAGAATCTGAAGCAGGCTCCAGGCTCTGAGCTAGCTGTCAGCACAGAACCCGACGCGGGGCTTGAACCCACGAACCGTGAGATCATGACCTGAGTGCCAAAGTCGGAGGTTCAACCAACTGAGCCACCCAGGCACCTCCATACTTCATTTTTTTAAATGTTTACTTATTGTGAGAGAGAGAGAGAGAGAGAGAGAGAGAGAGAGAGAGAGAGAGAGAACACAAGCGGGGGGGGGGGGGGGCAGAGATAAAGGGAGAGAGAGAATCCCAAGCAGGCTCTGTGCTCTCAGCATAGAGCCCTACACGAGGCTCAAACTAAGATCATGACCTGAGTGGGAATCAAGAGTCAGACACTTAACCAACTGAACCACCCCAGGTGCCCCAGTCATACTTCCCTTTAATAAACAAAACTGCATTACTCAGTTATTGGCCTTATTATTAAACCCATACTTGGATAGGCATGATTTGTAGAGGTGCCCTGAACTCCAATCTGTCCTCAAACAGTGATTTGCCACCATCAAAGCTACCTACCCAGAAATATATCCTTCAAGGCAAAGAGCAATTCTGGAAAAGAAATAAAAAATGGGTCTGAGCAGAACACGGAAACAAGCGGGCAGCCAGCCCCCTCAAGGTCACCTCTTTGAAGGAGACAGAAATCAACTGGCTGTAAGTCCTCTTCTCTACACACATCCTTCCCTGGTGGTTTCTCCACATCCTAATGCTTTCAGCACTGTCCCAATTTATAACCCCACCCCCTGCCCCCGACCCAAATGCTAGACCACTTCATCCAGCTGTCTGGGTCTCCATGTGGGCACCGAGAGGGCCTTAGCGTGTTCACCTCATGCACCAGAAACTGTTCTTCCTGTCCTCCCCGCGCAGGGAATGGGAACCCTATTCTTCCCGCTGCCTGGGCTAAGATCCTTGAGACATGTGCTATGAAGGCAGAGCGGGGCAAGGGAAGAGGGCCACGCGCTCGTTACTCTGGGTGTTCAGAAGGATCTGAGCGTGAGCCATACGGATATTTGGAGAAAACATGTCCCAGTAAGAAAGGTGGGTACCAGCAGAGGCCCCAAGATGGAGCATGCCTGGTTGTTTGGAGGCCAGGAATGAGCCAGGGTGAGCAGGGCGCAGGACGAGAAGGGAGAGAGCACACAAGGTCTCCCTCTCTTCCACTCCACAACTGATCCACTGGGAAACCCCACCGGCTCTACCTTTCCACGTGACCAGAATCCACGGACTTCTCACTGCGTTCCCTGCTAACACCCCTGTCAAGCAGTGACATCTCTCCCCTGCAAGGCCTAGCCAATCTTCCACCCTCATCCACACCTTCGGGTCCTCTGCACTTGCATGCACACACGCGAGCACACACACACACCACCTTGTCCCTCTATTCTAACTACTCCGATAGTCCTCCTAGTCCCACGAAGCCCCGCATGCCCCAGATACCGGCTGGCCCTTCTCCCACCTCGTGTGCCGTCTCCCGTCCCGTCCTGCACTCTGCTCACACTGGCTCATTCCTGGTTCCCAAACAACCAGGCATGTTCCATGCTGAGGCCTCTGCTGGTCCCCATCTTTCTTACTGGGACGTGTTTCCCCCAAATATCCATACCACTCACTCTCAGATAATTCCTGAAAACCTACAGCAACGAGCCCATGGCCCTCTTTCTTCCCTTGCCCTGTTCTGTCTTCATAGCACAATGTCACTAATACATTTTATTACACCTGTTTCTTATTCATCGCCTGAACCGCCAACTAGAAACAAGCTTCAAGAGTCTTTAAAAAAAAAAAAGAGTCTTTAATTCATTGCGATACCTCTAGTATCTTCAATGAATGAATAAATCTGAATCAGTTACTTTGTTTATGGTTTTACTTTACATAAATTCCTTTCCCTTCTCCCTGACTTCTTCCTTCAGAACGTCTCCTTTCCACATTCATGGTGCCCTTGTTTCCCCAAACAAAGCCTGGGTGGCTCAGTTGGTTGTGTCCAATTTCAGCTCACGTCATGATCTCGTCGTTTGTGGGTTTGGGCCCCGCATTAGGCTCGGTGCTGACAGCTCAGAGCCTGGAGCCTACTTCAGATTCTGCATTTCACTCTCTCTCGGTCCCTCCCCTGCTTACACTCAGTCTCTCTCTCCCAAAAATAAATAAACATTAAAGAAAAAAAAAAAGAAATTTGTTTTTAATAAAAAAACTTGAGGGGCACCTTCGTAGCTCAGTTGGTTAAATGTTCAACGCTTGATTTCAGCTCAGGTCATAATCTCATGGTTCTTGAGTTCAAGCCCTGTGTGGGGCTCCATTCTGACAGCACTGAGCCTACTTGGGAATCTTTCTCTCCCTCTCTCTCTGCCCCTGCCCTGCTCTCTTGATCTCTCTCAAAATAAATAAATACACTTAAAAACTGATAAAATGAAAAAACTTTTAAAAAGTCAATATGCTAGAGTTTGAAAAGAATGAAAAAAATTGCCTATAATCCTTCACCATAGCACAATTTCTATCATTTCTATATTTTCTACATAAATACATTAATTTTGCAGTTGAAAATCATGTATTGTGCAATTCTGCATGTTGCGTTTTTTTAACGTATTATCATATTTTTTTTCACCCAGGATTCCTAACTACACTTCATGGCTGCAAAACATTCTATTAAATGGCTGGGCCATAATTAACTATTCCCTTACAGTTATTATTTCTGGTTTTCTGTTACTATAAATAACAAAGTATTCCTTTATGCATTTAGCTTTTTTGCTTTCATTGGATTATTCGGATAAAGTCCCAGATGTGACATCACTGGGCCAAGGGTTTTTTTTTTTTTTTTTTAATTTTTTTTAAGGTTTTTTTTATTTATTTCTAGAGAGAGAGAGAGAGCGTGAGCAGGGGAGGGTCAGAGAGAGAGGGAGTCACAGACTGAAACAGGCTCCAGGCTCTGAGCTGGCAGTCAGCCAGAGCCCGACGCGGGGCTCGAACCCACGAACCGCGAGATCATGACCTAAGCGAAAGTCGGACGCTTAACCGACTAAGCCACCCAGGCGCCCCGGCCAAGGGTATTTTGATGGCTCTTAACACATAGTGCCAAGCTGCTGTCCTGAAAGGCCACCCCAATAACACACAGGTATAACCCAGAACTCACTCTCTTCACAGCTCCTTCCCCAACACGCTTCAGCTGCCTCACTTCGGTCCTCAGCTCCTCGCAGGACAGCCACGGTGAGCAGTTTTTCATCTGTCCCATTCTGAAGTGTCCCTGGGGACAGTGGGCAGAGTCCAGAGCAGGGCGTGTACGAGAGATGAAAAACCAGTCAAGGCAGAAGTAGAGGAGCGCATTCATGAGCGCCATGGAGAGCAGCAGCCCCACAGCCGGGGGCACTGCTCTATGGGGGGCACCTTTTCTGCTGTCCTGGGCTTTCTTTTCCATGCTGCTATCCCCTGCAACTTCCTGAAACAGAATATGAAACAGGAAATAATAAGTCAGTTTTTACGTCTATCAAGGCGTTTGGGCAACAAGGGGTTAAGGACCACACAGCCCCTCGGGCCTCTTATGCCCAAGGATCCTGCATGCTGTACTGTCCTCGTGAGGATTAAAGAAGGGACAGAATGCTCAAAGGCAGCTATTTCCATAATCATTGCCTTCTTATTACATACTATTGTCTGGGTTCATCCACTCTAGATTCAACTAAAAGGAAGGTGCCTGTGTCTTTTTCTCTCCCATAGCAGTTTGCACTAAATAGATATTCAATGAATAATTAGTAAAATGAAAGAAAACCGCATTTGTTAGTCTAGTGGGGCCATGGACAAAGGAGAGGAGCCAGATATGAGATGGGGTAGGGGGTGGGGGCTAGATGCTGAGGGTCTCCAGAACCCAGCTAAGGAGCTGGGATATTCCCTAGAAGGTGCTAGAAAGCTCCTTTACCTTTTTTTTTTTTTTTTAAGGATTTTTTTTTTATATTAAGGTTTATTTATTTATTTTTGAGAGAAAGTGAAGAGACAGAGTGAGGGAGGGACAGAGAGAGAATCCCAAGCAGGCTCCAGGCTGTCAGTGCAGAGCCAGACGCGGGGCTCAAACTCAAACTGTGAGATCATGACCTGAGCAGAAACCAAGAGTCAGATGCTTATATGAGTGAGCCACCCAGGCCCCGTTCCCTAGAAACTTTAAGCAGCAGGGCTACTCTTGAGCAGGTGTGAAAGATGTGGTTGGCGTGGAAGAAGCAGAGTCTGGGAGTCCAGGTAAAAGGCCGTGGCAGTGCTGTGGGGTAAGAGCTGATAAGCGCACAAGCTGGAATAACGGTGGCGATCCTCGTACCGGGAGCCACCAGGGAGGCGCGACCCTCACCCAGCCAGCTCTAGCACCAGCGGCGGTGGGAGGCCCGCAGTGGAGCATTACTGCCTGGCTGCTGCATGGCAGAGGGGTTGGGAGGCGAGAGGGATGGGAGGACCCTGGACGTCGGGTGCTTGACACTCAGAATGCTTGAGGCCGAAGCTATTTAAGAACCAGAGTGAAAGCACTGACATAGCAGATGGCTTAATGTCAGTGCTGGGAAAGGGCTCAGTGGCTCAGTCAGTTGAGCAACCAACTTCAGCTCAGGTCATGATCTCAGAGTTTGTGAGTTCGGGCCCCATACCGGGCTTCAGAGCCTGAAGCCTGCTTCGGATTCTGTGTCTTCCTCCCTCTCTGCTCCTCCCCTGCTCACGTTCTGCCTCTCTCTCTCTCAAAAATAAATAAGCTTAAAAAAATCAGTACTGGGATGCATGGGGGACGCTAGTGACAGATCTGACCCTGGGCTTCCTGTGTCTGAAATGACTGTGACATGAAGAGTTACCTTCCACGAGCGTCTTCCTTCTCCCAGCTCAGGCCACCACCCAGACTCCTGGTCACTCAGTGTTCCCCTTGGCGCCAGACACTGGTTTGACAATACTCTGTCACAAAGTACCAAAAAGGAGGTTTGCTGAATAAAACTGCAACTCTGCACATAGGCAAATGGCAATAGTTCAAATCGCCCACCTTCTCCAGGGGCCCTCCCAGGGTCCGGGTGTCCCTCAGGCCCCCGAATGGAGTGGCAGCTGCAGGAAGTCCTCCGACAGCCCGGCTGCCATCATGCAGCCGTGCCAGCTGCCGAGAGCTCAGAGCCCTGCATGTGCCCGGCCTCTCTGGTGCCAATCCGCTCCTTCCATCTCCATCACTAAGCTCCCGCCCTCTCATTCACTCGACACGCAGTAAGCCGTTTCCTAAGCTCAACTCTAGGCACTGGGAATCTGGGAGTAAATAAAACAGATGTGGTTCTTCTCCTCTTGGACCTTAGGCGGAAACCAGCGGAGAAGACAGATAATAAACAAGTAAATGAAAAAGCTTCTCATATATTGTGATAAGCTTTCAAGGACAGAGGATAACCAAGGAAATTCCCCGGATGAAGCCAGCCCAGAAGCCCTCTCTGGAGATTCGCCCTGAGACCAGAAGCCTGAGAGGGGACAGCGCTTTTGCACCTTCTCCTAGAGAAAGTAAAACCCGCCTGCCACTCATGGTGCGGGGACAGCAGACGGGGATGGAGCCAGGTGCAAAATGCACAGAGAGAAGCACCTGTCCTAAGGACACACCACTGTTAAGAAGTATCAACAACCCCTTTCTTGGAATGAGGGCTGCTTTCTTACTCACGGAGAAACTGCTCTCCGGAGTCACACGCCATCAAACATTTTGCCACTCGAAGTCCTACCAGAACAGGGGAGCATCCCGCTCTTGCCGGGAGGAGCTAAGTGTCCTTGACACAGAGAAGCCGCCTCTGCTTCAACGGGGCGCAGCACTGCACGTGAGCCGTCTCTGGAGAAGGCATTGGACATCTATGTGAATCTTGTGGTCTCCCAGGAACCAGGCCCCGGGGTCCACTTTGCAGTCCAGATCAGATCTGACATCTTTTTTTTTTCTTTAATGTTTTTTATTTATTTCCGAGAGAGAGACAGAGAGAGCGTGAGCAGGGGAGGGTCAGAGAGAGAGGGAGACACAGACTCTGAAACAGGCTCCAGGCTCTGAGCTGGCAGTCAGCACAGAGCCCGACGCGGGGCTCGAACCCATGAACCGTGAGATCATGACCTGAGTTGAAGTAGGACGCTTAACCGACTGAGCCACCCAGGTGCCCCAGATCTTGACATCTTTACAGGTAGCCCAGCTTAACTTTGAGCCCATCAGAACATCACTTCCTTTGAATTCTGCCTAAACTCCACTCACTCCGAAATTCTGTAAAAACAACTTTCTTTTCCTGTGCTTGAGACGCCATGTTCCACGGCTCCGCAGTCTCACCCACTGCAATGGGTCAATACACCTGACAGGTTCGTTCCATGGCCTAGGGCCCCTTCTCTTCAAACCTGCATCACCTCCTCCCCAACTCACTCTCAGCTGATCACCTTGTTCCCTATTTTCCTGAAAAAAAAAAAAAAAACAGAAGCAATCAGGGAGCCACAAGCCCCCAACCTCACTGCAGGCTCCTGCCCCCTCCCCCGCTGCCTTCTCTGCTGCAAAACGAGACAACAAACTGACCCTGTGCCTGCCCGAACATCGATCCCTCCCTCCCCGTCTGCTTGGGACGCTGCCTCTGTTCTGCTCCCAAAGCACTACCAGTGCACCTACCTCCTCCCCTTAGGTTACTGCCCTGTTTCTCGTCCCTTTTTGGCCAACTCCTTGAAAAACTATCTATGCTTACTATCCCCATTGCTTTTCTCTGTCCCCCCGCCCCCCAGCACTCCACCCACACTGCCTGAATCTCTGTGAGCTGCATATCGCTGAACATATCGCTGAACACAGCAGTCAGTTCAGTCCCGGGCTTGACGGTCCAGTGGCATGGGGCCTGGCTGATCACTCCCTCCTCCTTGAAATGCCTTCATTATTTGGTTCCCAGGGAGGCTCCTCTTGCCTGACTCTAAACTGCTGCTCTCACGCAAGCTCTGTGACTTCATCCAGACTCCGGCTCTCTGTCCCCACCTGCTGACAGTTCCCAGTTGTAAAGCCCCAGTCCTAGCCTCCTCAGAACGCCACCCTTGGCTCCTTGACATCTCTACTTAGACGTAGACAGACAATTCAAAAACAATATTTCTTCACAACAATAAAAAGATAAATGACTCAATTTATAAATGGGCAAATGACTTCAGCAGACATTTATCCAAAGGAGATATCAGATGGCCAATAGGCTCATGAAAGGATGCTGAACCGTATTAGTCCTCAGGAAAATGCAAGTCAAAACCACAGCAAGACCCCAGCTCATACCCACTAGGATGGCTGTCATCAAAGAGTCAGACAAGAGCGAGTGCAGAGGAGGACGTGGGAAAACAGGAGCCCTGATGCAGTGTGGGGGCAATACAAAATGATGCAGCCACCGCGGAAGATAGTCTGAAAGTTCCTCGCAAGGTTAAACATAGAGTTCCCTGTGCAAATCCACCACCCAGGAGAACTGAAAACACACGATCATACCAACACTTGTATATGAATGTTCACAGCAGCATTATTCATAATAGCCAAACAGCAGAAATAACCCAAAGTCCCTCAGCTGATAAATGGACAAATAAAATCTGATATATCCAAACATGGGATAGGATTCACCCACAAAAATAAATCAAGCTCTAATACACACTACAACATGGATAACACCGGAAAACTTTATCCTAAAGGAAATATGCAGACACAAAACGTCACAGATCATAGGATTCTATTTATATGAAACGTCGTCTAGAATAGGCACATCCAAAGAGACAGAAAGTGGATTAGTGACTCGAGGGGCTGAGTGAAAGGGGAAGGGGAATGGCTGCTAACAGGTGCCAGATTACTTTTGTGGATTAAAGTGTTGTGGAATTAGTGGTGATGGTTACACAACCTTGTGAATGTACTAAAAATCACTGAACTGTACACTAAAAAAGCAAACTTTAGGGGCGCCTGGGTGGCTCAGTTGAGTGAGTGAGTGTTGGACTTCACTCAGGTCATGATCTCACAGTCCACAGAACAGAGCCCTGCATCAGGCTCTGTGCTGATGGCTCAGAGCCTGGAGCCTGCTTCAGATTCTGTGTCTCCCTCTCTCTATGCCCCTCCCCCACTCACACTCTATCTCTCTTTCAAAAATATTTTAAAATAAAGTAAATAATAAAAACTTTACGGTATATAAATTACATCTCAACTTAAAAAGATAACAAAAACGGGGTGCCTGGGAGGCTCAGTCAGGTAAGCGTCCGACTGCAGCTCAGGTCATCTCATGGTTCATGATATTGAGCCCCACATCAGCTTCAGATCCTTTGTCTCCCTTTCTCTATGCCCCTCCCCTGCATGCACTCTCTCTCTCAAAAAAAAAACAAACATTAAAAAAAAAAAGAATTTATTAAAAAAAAAAAAGGATAACAAAAATACTTCCCAAACTCAACATCTGCTCTTTCCCCACAAATCTATTTCCGGTGGTCAGAATCTCAGGAAATGACAACTCCATTCTTCCAGTGACCCAGCCCATTGAGACTGCATGTCAAGGGTCAACACAGCAACACTGCTTCCTCTAAGCAAGAAAGTTTAGAAGTAATGGACTCTTCTACCACGCAGTGTAGTTCTTTCTAACTAATCATAATTTTTAAAAATGCTGCTCTGCATGTCCCTGCTGTCACTGAGAGGTGTCCAGTCAACCCCTATTTTTGACTCTACTGAATTGCTCCAGCCTCACTCAAATCTGCTCAGCCTGCCCTCGGTCTTTCCAGCTACTGATGGGATCAGTGTTCTGATGCTCGCTCACCTTTCTCATAAAGACTCCAGGCCTGCATCATTCTGTCTGGCCCATTCCTTCATGTCTTCATGGATTCTGACTGGAACAATGATGACTTTGACCATGCAGGCCTCACGGTCTCTTGAGCTTCTTCTGCCGGTACCTAATTCTTAGAAGATGCTCTTAAAGAAATGGATAAAACAGCTGCCGTCTCTCTTTTACAACATTCAAAATGACCAAGTATGTTTCAACTTAGACCTTAGGCCGAGAACCAGCACTTTTTTCTGTAAAAGCCACACAGTAAATATTTAGGTTTAGTGGCCAAAGGTTGAAATCTAGTAACAACGGCATCACATGACTTGTTACCCACCAGGCAGCAGTGTAAAGTGATGAGAGGCCACAGGCTCTCTGTCACTGTCATTCACCTCTGTGGCCAGGATGTGAAAGCAGCCCCCAACATTACATAAAAAACTGAGTGTAGCTGTGTTTGAATAAAACTTCATTTACGGACACTGAAGTTTGAATTTCATACAGTTTTCATATAGTTGTGTCACAAAAGATTATTCCTCTTTTAACCTTTCCCCCAACACTTTAAAAGGTAAAAAGCATTCTCAGCTCGCAGGTCATACAAATACAAGGGGCAAGCAGAAGCTGGCTGGGCCCTGCCCTAGGTGACGCTATCCCCCTGGGTCTGTCGCATCTTTCCATCTTACGCATTCCCTCCACTTAATCTCATTCACAGACGTGGCGGTGGCTTTGGTTGCCAAGTCTCCACTGTGGCCCAGATCTTTCTCCTACACGTCACTCAGCTGGCTCCTCGAGGCCAGGATGTCCATTACTGAGCTGTCTCTTTCTGGTCACCAGCATACTCCTCCTCCAGGGTTCCCTCATGGTGGCAGGCACATAATCCACCACTTGCTCCAGTCACAAAGCAGGTGACTTGATCCCCCCTGTCCCCGACCTCTAAACCAACCACTCCCCATGTACTCACTTCTATCACGCAAACCTCTCTGAAATCCCTTCTTGCTACGGCCACCCTGGTTGAAGCCTCTAGTATCTCTTACCTGGGCTTCTGCCAACAGTTTCCTGCATGGGCTCCCACTTCTTTCTCTTTTCCAGTCCATTTTCCACACAGCAAACAGGATCTTTGTGTTCTTTCCTAAAATGTTTCAAGCAACTAAAAAACTAAAACATAAGATCATGAACACCTATCCAGCTCTGTCAAGTAACAGAGCACCATATATTTTTTTCTTTGAAGAGCTTTTTAACAGAAACACACTTGAGGTCCCTTTGGACCCCTTCCCAGTCCTTCCCAAGAAGCAATCACCATCCATGAGTTCTCAAATTGTGGTCCCAGGACCTGCGGCAGCATCACCTAGAAATGTGAGTCTTCACTCCAGACCGACTGCATCAGAAACCCTGAAGCCCAGAAATCTGTGTCTTAACAAGTCTTCCAGGTGATTTAGATGCATGCTTGAGTCCAAGAACCACTGACGTATATAATTCCCACCCATGCTTTTTTTTTCACTACCAGTGTGCCTATAAATAACATAATATATGGATGTTTACAAGCTTTATACAAGTAGAACTGTACTGTATATATCCTCTGCAACTTGCTTTTTTAAGAGCTCATTAGTAAGTTTATGAGGTTTATCCACACAGACACACGAAGCTTGAGTTTGCCGTATTCAACTCTTTGGCTGTACCACAACTAGCAAAGTGAGTTTTGAACACGCTCCGGCACGTGTGCGAGTTTCTCGCTGGTATACACAGGGTGAGCTTTGCAAAGCACAAATCCGATCACCCCTTGCTTAAAACCATCTAACAGTCCTCCTCTGTCCTCATGATCAAGTCCAAACTCCTATAAGGTCCCCTGAGATCCAGCCTCTCTGCCTTTCCAGACGCCTCCTTGCACCCCACATTCAGACCCTGAGCTTCCCTCCATCCTTGAAGGCACCCCTCTGAGATGCCCAGGCTCCAGCACATGTGTCCCTTCTCCCTCAACTGTGAGTTCCCGGGAGGGCCGTCTGCCTGCTTTGCACACCCTGCATCCTCAGTAGCTGGCAAACAGCCAAGAGCTCGGTAAAAACGCACTACCTGATCACTCAGGATTCCTCCTCTTCACACCCTCACACACTGCCTCCTCTCTGTTTCTCAGTCCCGTCTGCTCTTCATTTCTTCATGTGCCTGCCCTCTGACGCTCTCATCCAGACCAACTCCAATCTGAGTTCGCCATCTTGTTAATTTGCAAACCCCCTTGCCCATAACCTTACACTCATCGATCCTACCTCGCCACTGCAGTAGAATCAGCTGTATAGGGCCTGAAGCTTATACAATATTTTTTTCCTTTGGAGGAATACCACTTTCTTCATTTCCACGCAAAGGCTGCCAACATCAGGTACAAATTCTGTAGAAATTCATACTTTCTAATCTACCTTCGTCATCATTACCCAGTTACCCATTTAATGCATTTCTTATGGACCCTGCAGTTCTATGCCTCAACAGTCTTTCAATTATCCCTAAGTTCTCACATCCACTTCTGAATCCTCGAAAAAACACTCCTCCAAAAACTCAACTGACTTTTACACAACGTCAACCTCACACCAATTCCGTGCAGCATGGATAATTGTTACTAGTCCCATTTAACAGATAAGAGAACTGAGTCAGAGGTGAAGTGACTTAGCCAAGGTCACTAAACTGTACTTGGAGGAGCCAAGTTTTCCAGCCTCAAACACACACCCTTCCTCTAAATCCTGCAACCTTCAGGTGCTGGAAGGAATTGAACACAGCATGGTCACTGTCTATCTCTCTCTCCTTTTTTTTTTTTTTTTTTTTTTACTATTCTAGCATTTTTTTTTACTTTTTTTTTTTCCCCCCTTCGGAGAGAGAGAGACAGGAAGGAGCAGGGGAGAGAGGGAGACTGAGAATCTTAAGCAGGCTCCTGGCAGCGCAGAGTCCTATGCGGAGCTCAAGCGCACAAACTGAGACCATGACCTCAGCCAAAATCAAGAGACTGACTTAACAAACTGAGTCACCCAGGCACCCAAAGACTGCCCGTTTCTTAAAGAAAGCTTTAGCCCACCCGAACACCTGATGGGCCTGTTTTCTTGGAAAGGAGTATTTCTGGAGTAGGCTGTGGATAGGCTGTAAGGCTGAAAGAACTTTGTTGTCCAGAAATAAGCAAAACGACTATTAAAGTTGCTGCTGGTTTTGCAAGTTAAGGAATAAAGATTGTGGGGCCGGTTGGGCAAGAGAAATTCGGGCACTGTTTAGGCACAAAGGATTCCTGACATCTAGGGAAAAGTTGGTGACAAAAAACCGGAAACACTGCTCTACCCTCACGGTTTATTTAAAAGAAGGCAACGCAACAAAATTGGCTTTTCCCAATTTACAGAATACTGAATTCAACCAAGGAGAAAGGAACTGGCGTCACCCCAAAAATTTCAGAACGGAGTCTCATTTTGCCGGTAGAACACGAGGCACATTAAAATCATTCTTTTAAATGTCCCGGATGGTTCTTAGCCAAGGTGAAGGATGGAGAAGACAAGACTAACAACAGGGCTGAGCCGGCCTTTAAAACCCGAGCGGCACGGGCTACCCTTACCCCGGGGCCCCGCGCCCAGGGAGTGCACGGACCCCGGGCAGCACAGGCGCGGGCGGACGGGAGCCCAAGCCCGGCCCGGGCGCTGTCGTCCGTCACGGGAGGGGGCAGCGTCGGCCGCCGGCCAAGGGCAAGCCCCGCAGGAAGCCCTCCCGCCCTCCGCGCCGGCCCGCCCCGCGGCGCCTTGTCTCTCTTGGGTCCGAGCGGGACACCGCGCCCGTACCCGTCGGCTCCCCGCGCCCCCCACCTCGCACTGCTCCGCAGCTCCGGCTCGCCGCGCCTGCCTGCGGCCCCCACTCCGGCACGCGGCGTCCTGCGCCGGCGCGGCCGGAAACCAGCCGGGGCAGGGCGAGCGCGAGGCTGCCCCCTGGCGTCCGCCTCCCGCCGCGCATCTGCGGGCCCGCGCATGCGGGATTCCAGCCCCGGCGCGCCCACGGGTTCGCTATCCTTGGGCTTCTCTTTGAGCCCTTGAGGACAATGATTATATTGACCTATTATTGTTTTAGTCCAGACGCCCAGATTGGAGCTGCGTACGGTGCGGTGGAGCTATAGGATCTAGATCCTCCAAAACGCTCCCGATCGGGGCGCCTGGGTGGCTCAGTTGGTTAAACATCTGATTTCAGCTCAGGGCATGACCTCGCAGTTTGTGAGTTCGAGCCCCTTGTTGAGCTCTGTGCTGACAGCTCAGAGCCTGGAGCCTGCTTCAGGTTCTGTGTCTCCCTCTTTCTCTGCCCCTCCTCTGCTCGTGCTCTGTCTCTGTCTCTCAAAAATAACTAAACATTAAAAAAATTTTTTTTAAACAAAAAAAACCCAAAAAGCTCCTGATCATTGCAAAGCCGTGGCCTCCGAAGGGTGGTCCTCAGACCGAAGTTGATGCTTCACATTTCCAGGGAAATTGTTAGAAGTACAAATTCTTGGCTCCAGATACGGAGATAGATTGGGGCCAGCAACTTGTGCTTTAATCAGGCCTCTGGGTGATGCTGAAGATTCTGAAGGTTGACAACCACTGGTGGAGGGGAAGTTTAGGGGCTTAGCCTGCACACAAAAGCTGGGTTTCATGCACTCAAGGGGTGGCGGCAAGAACTGTAAGAAACCCCAAAGGAGGTGTACAGTACTGTCCGGAAAGGGGGAAGGAACCTGGAAGGTCTCAAAGCATCACACTGGCCTCTGTACCCGGTGGAAAAGTTTCAACATTGAAAGTTAGACTATATAACTTTTTGGGTTAAATCAGATGTGTTATTTTCTTCTACACTAACATATTTTCGAAGTTCTGAATCAAGAGGATAATTTGATTTGGGTTAAACATTGAGCCTGTACTGGAAATCCGAACAATGAAAATTAAAATAACTGAAAGCAACTTGCTTTCAAATTGGCAAATAGCAAAGAGAATGGTAATGTCTACTCTTGATACACAGAATCTAAAAGTTTCCCCACATACATATATCACTGTAAATTTATATAACCTGTATCAATTTCTCCTATGTATGAAAGGCTCTAGCAAATCCCATTTCTAGGAGTTTATCATGCAGAAAAAAAGTGGATACATGTGCAAGAAGTACCGTATGAAGTTTTGTGGATAAGAAATGTTTACTGTAGAAACAACCCTAAATATTTAACAATAGGGTTTTCTGAAGGAAATTATATCTATGCAGCTGTTAAAAATGCTGGTATAATGGGTACAGAATTTCAATTTGAGAAGGTAAAAAAAAATTCAGGAGCTGAATGGTGATGGTGGTTACCCAAGATGAAGGTACATAATACCACTTAAAAACAGTCAGAATGTAAGGAGTACCTGGGCAGCCCAGTTGGTTAAACATCGGACTTTGGCTCAAGTCATGAGGTCATGTTCTGTGGGTTCAAGCCCCATGTTGAGCTCTGCTCTGATACACAGAGCCTGTTTGGGATTCTCCCCCTACCCTCTCTCTGCCCCTCCCACATGCTCCCTCTCTTTCTCTCTCTCAAAATAAATGAAATAAACATTAAAAAAAATAGCATTGCAATGGGGCACTTGGGTGGCTCAGTCAGTTAAGTGTCTGACCTCAGGTCAGATCATGATTTCATGGTTCATGAGTTTGAGCCCAGCATCTGTCTCTGTGCTGGTAGTGCAGAGTCTGCTTGGGTTTTGCTCTCTCTCTCTCTGCCTCATCCTCATTTGTGCCGTCTTTCTCTCATAATAAGTAAACTTTTAAAATTTTATTTAAAAATTTTTATTAAAAAATTGCACTGCAAAATATTTGAAAACTGAACTGATTTTGGAATGCAGCCACAGACAGAATGTTGGAACTTGTGGTCCATACCTCACTATAGCAAATGCTTGCTAAAATAAAAACACTGACATTCTCCACAGGATTTAAATAAGAATTAGAGTCTCATAACATTCAAAATGCCCATAATATAGTAAAAAATTACTAGGCATATGAAGTATCCAAAAATCTCAATTTGCATGGGGGAAAAAACCACTGACACTCACCAATGATGAGATGATGCAGATATTGGGATTACCTAACAAAGACATTAAAACAGTTATACAAATGCCAAAATAATCATGAGCACTCTAGAAACAAAAGTTAAAAAAGAAAGTGCTGCGGAGCACCTGGGTGGCTCAGTTGATTGAACATCCAACTTTCAGTTTCAGCTCAGGTCATGATCCCAGGATCGTGGATTGACCCCTGCGTCAGGTTCCACACTGAGCATAGAGCCTGCTTAAAATTCTTTCTCCCTCTGCCCCCTCTCTGCCCTGCTCATGCTTTCTCTCCCCCCTCTCAAATAAATTAAAAAAAAAAAAAAAAAAAAAAGCATTGGTAAAGATGGGAGCCTGCGTGGCTCACTCAGTTAAGCGGCCGACTTCAGCTCAGGTCATGATCTCATGGTCAGTGAGTTCGAGCCCCACATCAGGCTCTGTGCTGTGAGCATGGAGCCCACTTCAGATTCTCTGTTCACTCCCACCCTATCCCCAGTCTCTCTCAAAAATAAACATGAAAAAAAAGTATTGGTAAAGAAAAAGAACTTAAGAAGAATTAAATATTTTAGAACTGAAAAAATATATAACTAAACTCACTTTATAGATCCAATAACAAAATTGAGATGACAGAGAAAAAGTCATTAAACTTGAAGACAGATTAATAGAAATCATTTAGTTTGACCAACAACAGAGAGAAAAAATAGAAAAATATGAGCACTCAGGCACCTGTAGGACAAAAATAAAAGGCCTAACAGTCTTGTCATCAGAGTCCCACAGGAAAAGAGAAAGTGCTGAAAAAATATTTGAAGAAATAATGGCTGAAAACGTACCCAATTTGGTAAAAAAAATCAAGATCCAAGAAGCTAAGCAAGAAAGATAAATCCAAAGACACCCATCCCCAGACACATCAAAATCAAATTGCTAAAAATGAAAGACAAATGAAAAAATGTTAAAGCAGCCAGAGAGAAAGAGAGAAACCTATGGGCAAACAACCATTTTAATGACAGATTTCTCATCTGAATTCATGAAGGCTGGAGGAAGCGGGATATTTTTCAAGTGCTGCAAGAATTATAAACCCAGAATTCCATATCCAGTGAAAATGTCCTTCAAGAATGAAGGTTAAATAAAGGTGTTTTCAGATTAAGAAAAAATAAGAAAATCTGCAACCAGATGACCTCCTCTAAAAGAATTAAAGAGGGGCACCTGGGTCGCTCAGTCGGTTGTCTGACTCTCGGGTTCAGCTCAGGTCATATCGCACGGTTCATGAGATCAAGCACCAAGTTTGGCTCCATGCTGACAGCACAGGGCCTGCTTGGGATTCTCTCTCTCTCTCTCTCTCTCTCCCTCTCTCTCTCCCTCTCTGCCCTTGTCCTGCTCATACTTTTTATCTCTCTCAACATAAATACACGTTTAAAATTTATTTCTTTAAAAAAGAATTGCGTACAGGGGCGCCTGGGTGGCTTAGTCGGTTAAGTGTCCGACTTTCGCTTGGGTTGTGATTTCGCGGTTCGTGGGTTCGAGCCCTGCATCGGGCTCTGTGCTGACTGCCAGCTCAGAGCCTGGAGCCTGTTTCAGTCTGTGACTCCCTCTCTCTCTGACCCTCCCCTGCTCACGCTGTCTCTCTCTCTCTCTCTCCTAGAAATAAATAAAACATTAAAAAGAATTGCTTACAGAAATTTCTTCACACAAACTTGGAATATCAGGAATGAAAGAAGAGTAAAAGAAATGGTAAATAGCTGGGTATATATAACAGACTATTCATCTTGAATTCCTTAAAATATGTTTGGTGGTTGAATGCAAAAAGTGTAAAATTGTCTGATGAGGTTTTTAATGTAAGTGGATACAGAATAAAAGACAACTACAGCTATGAACGGTGGAGGGTAAAGAGACCTATATGGTAGTATGCTTTCTAGAGTAACCACTAAAAACAAAATAAAACTAAACAACTCAAGCAATCAGTAACAGAGGATAACAGGAAAATCTCCTAACACTTAGTAATTAAACAACAAATTTCTAAATAATCCATGGGTCAAAGATGCTGTCTCAAGAAGGGAAATCAGAAAATACTTGAACTGAATGAAAAGAGACACACAAAATATCAAAATTTCTGAACACAGTTTTAGCAGTTGCTTGAGGAAAATGTATAGCAGTCTTAGACTGTGAAAGAAGAGTCATATCAATCATCTATCCTTCTTCATTAAAAAACTAGAGAAATTTGCTAAAAGTAGATCTTAAATGTTCTCACCACACAAAAAGTGAACTATGTGACATGATGGATTTGTTAACTAACCTTAAATGTGGTAGTTCATCTCATAATATATACGTTTATCAAATCATCATGTTGTACACCTTAACTCACACAAAACTACTCGTTAACTAGATCTCAGTAATGCTGGGGGAAAATATCAGAATACACAAAATCAGGTCAAAGGAAGGAAATAACAGGAGAGAATTCAGTGAAATTAAACATTTTCTATTACATATCTTTTTTTTAAAGTTGGTTCAGAACCACTCACTTGATGTAATTGCCCATTAATAAGTTACAATCCAGTTTGAAAAACATTGATTTCTCTAGATGGGAATGCTCTAGAGAAATGTCCTGGACTGTCCTATTAATTTATAAATTACTATTTGGGATATAACCAATTGTAAAGTATACAGCCTTCTTAAAGGATGTAACTAGCCAAATTTGTTCTCCTTTCTGAA